GAGTCAAACTCCTCCCATATAATAGTCTCAAGACCTGCTCCCGTCTCCTCCCCCGGGGCCACCCAGTCAGAGTCCAAACCCTCTCGGATCTGAGCGACTTTGTCATACAGATATTGTGCAAAGTCCTCAGCCCTCCCCACCAGGGGGTCCTCCCCCCCCTCAACTGAAGGAGAGAGCGGGTCACCCTGAAGAGGGTGGCCGGGCGATTATCTGATGACGCAATGAGGGTGGAGTAGTAATTAGACCTCGCCACCCTCATTGCCACTAGGTAGGATCTAACATGCTTCAATTCTTCAAACTTAACTCTGTTTTGACACAAAGCAAATTCAAAGGTCAGGTGTTGAAACATGTCATTAAGCCAATTGTTTTCTAATATATTAAGATCCCTCCATGTGTACATAATTGCCTTTTTTGCAGAAGACAAAGCAGAACATGCAAACTAATCTTTGTAGATGGAAAAATTCCTAATTTGGAGGATATATTTCAACAGATCATTAAATAGCTTTCATTCTTAACTTTCTTCTGAGACACTCTTCATCACAGTAATAATATTTAAACAATAAGAAATTATTATTGGTGTATCTGCATCATGTATAGCAGGAAGACTATTTTTCAAAATTATTACGTCTACATCATAAAATGAATGGTATCAATATTTTTACATTTGCTCATCAGCACAATAACACACCTCTTCTCAAAGTTATTTTGCTTACTGAAGTTTTTAAATCATATAAAACATATTCAACGCTAACATTCTTTAAACCTGAAATATGAGTGGACTAAAATAGAGTCTAATTCTCTATTTCGAACTTCTTGAACGTGTATTTTTATATATTTTTTAAAAAATCTTGATGCTAATAAATTGTGGGTTTACTCAAAGCCTCTGGAGTTTCCAAAGTCTATATGGCATCAGAGCCAAACAATGAACACATCAAAAGCTTTAATTCTATGTGTTATATTCCTTCTACAGAATGTCAGAAGAGGTCATGGTTTCTAAAATAAAAGTGTGACCAAGTATTTTAAGCAAAATACTCCAACAAGTTAATTTCTAATGATAATGAAAATAAAATTTTAACTTTTGCCCAGTAAGGCCCAAATACTTCTGATCAATATTAAAGGCTTAATTACTAGTATATTTTGAATCAGGAATTGAAACAGGATAGTAAACAATTATCTCTTTTGTTAGACATAAGGTAATGGGGGAATAAAAATTAATCTTCTGCATTATTGTCCAAAGATAGGACAACCATTTATTCAGGATGGTATAAGGATTCCTAATTTGGTTCTTGGACTAGAAAATCTCCAAGGTTGCTTCCAGCCCTATGATTCTATTATTATAATATTGATATATTTTTGGTTAAAGTTTAGTTAAACTTTCTTTCAGAGTAGTTTGCTAACATGTGGAAATGTCTGACCTTGGTCATCTTTGCCAGCTTGCTTGCCTGACCTCTGGGACAACTCATTGTGGTCAATTCGCCAGTCAACTTGCCGCAGGACAAGAGTTACAGTAATATTAAAGAAATGGTGGAATAGAATCATTAAAGAAATGGTGCAAAAGGAGGAACAAAATAAAATGCGACTGACAAAAATAAAAGTTTAAAATAATTAAACTGAACTGAATTGTCCCGCAGGAAGTTCTCCTGTGGTGAGTTGGCCACAGCAAGTTGTCTCATTCTGTTACCTGCGTTCCCTCCACTGGGCTTATCATCCCAGCCAGGTGCAGGGGGAGGCACCATGGAAAGGTTCCAAAGATTGGCAGGGTCGTCTGTGCCTGCTGTGCCCCACTACTGACCAGGTCCTTCTTTCACACACCACCTAGAGCTTTCTTTTGCACATTGGCCAGGACCCCTTATGCAAAAAAAAAAAAAAAAAAAAAGGGCGGAGCTTGCTTCTTGGAAAAAAAAAATTCATCTCTATTTGTGGAACTTTTTCTGGCTTTATCTTTTTGACTGCCATTTTAACTTTATCCTCTATTACAAATTTACTCAGATAATTTTTTAATGTTTTTCTTCTGTACTGTAGGTTCATTTTGCTAAGCAATTTTTAATTTCTTTAAAAAAATCACATTTTTTTATTTGCATTATTAAAACTTTACATTATTCTTTTTGCTTGGTATAAATATCCTTTGCTAAATTCTCATGATGGAATAGTCAGAAGAATTTTCAGTTACTGTTTTATTCAAAGTAAGTTATAGGCTGGAAGTCTCAAATGCACAACTTTAAATCTGACAATTTTGAAGAACTATATATATTTCATTCAACATTTCATAGCAGCCATTGTTGTTGACAAAAGATACTCACCTTGACAAAGTGCAGGAAGATCTGACCACTTACTAGTATCAAGACATCTCATAGTAGGAATTGTTCCAGGTAGATATTCATAACCTGGAATACACTGTAACCGCAGAGTAGTGGCAACTGCATAGCTTTCTGCTAGGTCTCCTCCTCCTCTTAGTGAAGAATGGGGAGGTAGAACTGGAGCTGGACACTGAGCTGTAGTTAAGTAAAAATGAGGAAGTTCTGAAGTAGAGAATAGAAATAAAGGTCTATTATACTACTGTAGCCCAACCATTCCGTTTTAAGTCACTGGGGGCTTAATGCCAAAGAATCTTCAGCCCAGAAATGTAGAATTAAGGTTAGGAGGGCAAAAGCAGAAAATGAGGTAAGAGTAGCAAGAGGGCCATAATCCAGCAAGGTTTTCTTGAAATATGTCAAGAGCCAGAAGATAACAAAAATGGCAGGCCCACTGCTTATTTAGGATGCAGAAATTTTAACAGATGACCAAGAAAAAGCAGAGAAACCTGACTTCTATTTTACCACTGAAATGGTGGCTTGAGTGGTACAGATTGGAAACAAATGCAATAGGTACAAGTCAATAGTAAAGGTGTTATAGTAGGCAATAAAGAGAGCTATTTGCAGGGATCTTAAAGACAATACTGTGACCCAAAGGCCAACACAGCTTTACCCCCCCCCCCCCAAAAAAATGTGAGAGAAATCTTGTCTCCTCCTCTGACAAGGTAACCATTTCACCGACCTAGAGGAATATGACTGATATAAGGAACCTGGAATTTCCCCAAGTTTTGAAAAGGTTTCAGTGTTCCAGAGAATATCTTCAATGACAAGCTATTAGTGTAATTTAGAAGGCATTCCAATAAAGCAGGGTTGGCTAACCTCACCAGAGAATCAGCATTAATGGATATCTATCAAGATGGAGAGCAGTAACTAGGGAAGTTTCACAGAGATAGGTTTTAGACCAGGGGTGTCAAACTGCCGGCCCACAGGCCGGACGCATCACATGGAAGCCACACACACCCCATTGTCAGCAATGGCAAAACTGGCCCGATATGTTGCACGACGTCACATGACGTCGTGAGTTTGACATGCCTGTTTTAGACCCAGTATAACTTAACATTTTCATTAATGAACTAAATAGCTACTGTATCAAATGTGTGAGTGACACAAAACTGGAAGTTCTAACCAACACACAGGATAAAAGTATTTGATTGCAATCTAGCCCCAAAGACAGGGTTGAAAGGAAAAATACATCCTTTAACAGGAAAAAAATGTGAAGTATTACATTTAGAGAGAAAAAAAATGTAAGACAAACATACAAGATGGTGGAGTCATGGCTTAAAATGCTACATCTGAGGATTAGGTGTGGCCACTGACAAGAAGCTGACCACAAGTCAGGAGTATGAAACAGTTATTAGAATGAATACAAATCTGAATTGCATTAGAAGCACATATTAAAAAGACATAAAATCATTGTTCCCCTCTACTTGGCACTGGCAAGACCACACCTGGAGTACTGTATCTGATTCTGAATACTACATTATCAGAAGGAGATTGACGGGTTAGAACTTCTTCAGAGTGCAGTAACAAAGATGATTATGAAATAAAACTATTTTCCATGGCCACCTAAATTAGGATCAGAAATAACAAGTTGCAGCTACCTGGATTTCTTTTAAATGTGTAAAAAAGCCTCCTGATAAGACTTGTGTAGCAGTTTAGCTGTGGCGGTTGTAGATTCTCCATTCTTGGAGGTTTTTAAGTTGAATCTCTCACGGATTCTATAAATAATTTTCCTATATTTTGCAGTAAGTCAGACTAGATGATCTTTACAGGTTCTTCCAAGCTACAATTTTCTCATTTTCCTTTCACTACACAAAGAATACTCTTTACTTTTAGAGGAATTTAAAGCTATTTATCCTATCTTAGCTTATTTTTCAAGGTAGATTGAAAACCATTCGTTTAGAGCAGACATGTCAAACTCGCGATGACGCCGCGCAACGTATCGGCACTGTTTTGCCATTGCCGGCAATGGGGTGGGCGCGACTTCACCTTGACACATCTGGCCCGCGGGCCGGCAGTTTGACACCCCTGGTTTAGAGGTAGGAGAAACCTCAAATGTAGTTTACCAGATTTCTTGCATGGATTGCCCCTGCAGCTATGTGGGACAGACAGAAAGGAAGTTAACCATCAGATTGCAAAAACACAAGGTAGTTGTTAGATGAGGAGACAAACTCATTGGTAGCTTCACATTGCAATGAACAAGAACATGTTTTCGACTTCACAGCTACAATTGTTGGCCAAAACAAAAATAGCCAGAGAAATGATGAAGGCTGGGAAACTGGCTGGTCAGTCAACAGGAGTACTGATTTACCACTGGCCAATCAGGTACTTAGGGAGCTGAGGGCGCAACAGCAGAATAGCCAGCCATCAACGCCCTAATTAATAACTAAAAGCTAGATACAACCAGGAACCATATAAATACAACACGTAGGACAACCTAGTGCACATATTCTGGAGAGAGAGAGAGAAGTTCCCTGACGATGGATTCTAGTGTGAGCCTGAAAGCTTGGAAGAATAAACCTTTAGTCCACTGACTGACTCAGATTGGCTCCTGCAACATTCTCATGGGACACATATATATTCCTTCATTTGCAAAAAATATTTTATTTGCTTAACATAATTAGATCTTAGGGCTTTGCTTCTGCAGTTATAATAGACTATGTGAACATATAGCCCTACCAGTGACTTAAATAATCCTTTAAAAAAACATTCCTCTGAATCATGGTTTCTGAGTCCAGCTTTTATGTTCTGAAACAGAAGTTCACTTCTTGGCTTTCATTCCCTGTTTTGGTGTTTGGCTTCTGTAACTCAAGAAACCAACTCTTAACAGAAAAGGTCAAGTGAACAGGTCAAGAACGGAAAAACCAACTTCTTCCCCTTAAGAGTTACATGTTTGTTTGAGAAAGAACAACAAATACTGTATCATCCACAAAACAACTATGATGTTGTTCCCATCAGGAGCAGTAACCACGATGTGTTAACAGTTAAAATAACCTCAGTTAAGGCACTCTACTACCTCTGCCTTCATAGAAGCCAGATCTGGCTAAAAGCCCAGCTGTTTCTGAATCCCGCAGTCAACCAAAGAAAGGGTCCAGGGATGGGGAGGGGGAAGTGAAGGATGGAGAATCCAAGGCCACCGAGGAGCCACTAGGCTTGATACGATATAGGCCAGTGTTTCTCAACCTTGACAATTTTAAGGCATGTGGACTTCAACTCCCAGAATTCCACAGCCAGCAATGCTGGCTGTGGAATTCTGGGAGTTGAAGTCCACATGCCTTAAAATTGTCAAGGTTGAGAAACACTGATATAGGCAAATGGACGTGGCCGTGGCAGCCCCAGCCTCTCCCAGACCGCAGAGGGCCCCGGCGACAGGCTCCGGCTGGCGTCGTTCTTTTTCTTTCGACTCAACAAGCCGAAGCGTCTTTGCGGTACGCAGCTGGAGCAGCAGTTCTACCTGGCGAGGGGCTTTCTCGTTCTCGGTCGCAAAACAACCAGAGATCGCGGCTCTCCGGGGCAGGGACAAAGCGACTCCCCGCCTTGTCGACGGAATCTCGACGAGCTCGCCTCTCTAGGCAATAATGAAGGTGTTTCTCCTCCCTCCCACCCCGTCCATTTTAGAGCACGAACTTTAGCAGGCTCCTAGAGGCGCTTCTTACTCACACAAAGCCGTGGACGAGAACAGCAGCAGGAGCAAAGCCGCTGAAAGAACCTCAGCGGAACAAGAAGCCAAAAGACCCATCGCAACAGCTGGCGGGAGTCGGAGAAACACTCCGGGAGTCTAAAGGCAGAAAAGGGCGGCACTCCCAAATACTCCCGGAAGACGAAAAATACACCACCAGCGCCGCCGTTTTTCTGGTAAATGGGCGTGAGCAGCTTTGTCTTTATAACCCGACCTTTATAACGTCATGACAAGCAGGAAGGAAGTTTCTAAGACTACGGCGCGCTGCTCTGCGGCGGTCAGGTGTAATGCCGAAAAGCGCGGAGCACGTGGTTCCGAACAGGAACTGGGTTTCCCCGGTTGACTGGAGGGAGGAAACGGGTGGGCGGTGGTTTGACTTCGCGCTGCAAGAGGAGTTTTGAAGAAATTTGCGGTTTTTAACTCGGAAAGGGAAAGAAAGGAAGAAAGAAAAACTCGCGGAGGTTGTAAGGATGAATCCAGGCTAGAAAGCTGGTCTTTTGAATCTTCCCCAGCTTGTCGACCGCTATGTTAGGCTTCAGTTCGCATAAATGTGGATAGCATAACTACTGTTCATGTCTTAAACCAGGGGTAGTCAACCTTGGCTCTTTTATGACTCGTGGACTTCAACTCCCAGAATTCCTGAGCCAGCTTGGCTGGCTCAGGAATTCTGGGAGTTGAAGTCCACGAGTCATAAAAGAGCCAAGGTTGACTACCCCTGTCTTAAACTGTAAAAGTTCTGGAACTGAAGAACAATAATGGTGGAGAGTATCCAACTGGGAAATAGTTGTTGATGGTGCATGCTTGCAGTTGTAGTGGTATTCTCATTAAATGCTTTTTTAAATTCACGTTATCAACCAGCTTGGTTTAGTTAGTGTTTAAGGCACCAAGGCAGAAATCAGGACAACATGAGTTCTAATCCTGGCTTAGATTCAAAGCCAGCCGAATGTCTTGGGCCAATCACTCTCTCTGTCCTAGGAAGGAGGCAGTAGCAAACCACTTCTGAAATACTGCCAAGAAGACTACAGGGACTAGTCCAAACAGCCTTGACTCCTAGCAACTGTCTGGAGAAGTGCCCTCTAGTATTGGCAAGATTTTAGAAGTGGTTTGTTATTGCCAATCATTCGTGCTAGAGAATCAACAAAAGTGGAAGTACGAAATATAAATCTAAAAGAAGCACAAGACTTTTGACACTTAACGATAAAGCAATTGTATATTGTATGTTTAAGTTCTAAATAATTTCATTTGCTTCCAAGCAACTTAGCTTTTCAACAAATAGAAAGGAAACCAGTTTTGAATAAGCACATATCGGATTGCATAAAAAAAATATGGTAGAAACTAATCAAGGAGAGAAGCAACCTAGAACTAAGGAGAAACTTCCTGACAGTTAGAACAATTAACCAGTGGAACAACTTGCCTCCAGAAGCGGTGAATGCTCCAACACTGGAAGTTTTTAAGAAAAAACTGGACAGCCATTTGTCCGAAATGGTATAGGGTTTCCTGCCTGAGCAGGGGGTTGGACTAGATGACCTCCAAGGTCCCTTCCAACTTTATTATTATTATTATTATTATTATTATTATTATTATTATTATTATTATTATTATTATTATTATTATTATTTTACCTGTGCTTTTTATCATATAGCTTATTTTCTTCAATTGATGAAATGTTTCTGCAAACATTTACGTTAATAATTAGAAGTATTTGAAGGCAATTGTTTCTTAACCTCATTACATATGTGGCACCATGCTGGATCAGATGAAGAGTCCATTCTATTTTTTAAAAAGACCAAGCAGCTTTAACTTATGTTTTATGTGGTAGCAAATTCTATTGTTTAATTTTATTCTGGGTGATGGAAAATACTGAAATAAGAGCATTTTTTGCTCTTAAAATTAATAGAATGTTTCTATATTTTGAGAGTAATAAAGTTAAATCAGTATTCAGTGGTTGGTATTTTTCTAGGAACTGCTATGGCACTCAGAAAAGTTGCTAATAGTAGTTAATCTAGATTTTTCACAAAAATGAATGCCTGAGGCTGAGAATAAATGCAAAGCATTATAAAACAACAAGGTAAATAAGGTTGAGAAGTTATATAATTTATTTTGGAGAGGGTTGCATTTTCCTAATAAAAATAGTACTTAGTCGAGTTTATTGTGAATTTACTCTTGTTACCAGATATTCTACAGACGTCACTGGGTAGAACAGCCTATTAACAATTTTGGCTTGTACAAAAGCTCCAGCCTTCCCTGACAGAAATAGTTTTAAGTTGATCGCTTAAAGGTGACATTAGGGCAGCGGTTCTCAACCTATGGGTCGCGACCCCATTTGGGGTCGATCGACCATTTCACAGGGGTCGCCAAGCAAGGCTGTCCGCCATTTTTTTCCCTTTTCCGGCGGGTGCCTTACCTCCCTTGAGCTGGGCCAGCTGGTGGTCGGCCTGCTCCGTCTCTGCCGCTTGCCAGCTACGCCTCGGCCGGCGCAGGGGGCGGAACCACGCATGCGTGGCGCTCCCGGACAGGGAAAGTCCTCAACTTACGATCGGTTGGGTAGTCCTCGACTTATGACCGGTTTAGTCCTTGACTTATGACCGGTTTAGTCCTCAACTTACGACCGGTTTAGTCCTCGACTTACGACCGGTTGGGGGTCACGGCATTAAAAAGGTTGAGAACCACTGCATTAGGGGATTTTCCTTGAGAGTAGTTCAAAATCTGCAAATAACTCAGAATTCTACATACCTCCATTTCTGAAGAATTTGCACTAATTCATTTAGCCATTCAGTCATTTTAATAAACCACTGTTGATTTCTCTGATCCTAAGCAACTTTGAACTAAGATTTGGATAGCTTCTAACAGTCCTTACACCCTGATAAGTGATTAATTGTAGAGCAGAAGTGGGCATTCTTAATTATGGTATTAACCATATGAAATAAATTCCCTATATCTGTTCAATAGTCCCCCCCACCCAATTCTGGAATGTTTCTACTATATATTAAAAGCTTATCTGTTTGTGCAGACATTTTGATTTCTCTCTATCTTTTATTAACTAGTTTCTTAATAGTGTTAATTTAATTTATATCTTGTTGTATTTGTTATTTAATGCTTTACTCTATCTTTTAAACGCTTAAAAAGTAAAATGATTTTTAAATGCACACAAGTAGGTCAGCTATGGTTTGAACAAATTTCAAAGCCTCCCTCCCTCCCTCCTACAATAGAAAGAAAGATGACAAAATTGTTAAATATCTATTAATTTTTCACTGAATTCAATTTATAATTTTTATACCTATGTGCTGGGCAAGAACTGAGAAAGGCTGACTAAAACTTGAGAAATCCAATGTATTCATAGTAAACATCTTGAAGACTGATGAATAATATAAATCCTCTGGCATCCAGCATAATCTGAAGAAAGCTTAAAGGTGAAATTAATATTTTGTAATGGGAAGACAGATCAGTTAATCCAAGGAAGGAAATGTGCAATCAATCTCTCCATTGAGTCATCTATTCTTGAATAAAGCAATGCATGATGATACTTCAATAAATTTAGCTTGTGAACAACCATTGACATTTGGACTTTCAGTAAAGCTGATACCAAGTGTGTGATTTTTTTTTCTACTGTGGTATAAAATAAGCACTAATTCTGTTCAATAGGTCACGTATTTTAAAAAAACAACAATTTGTTCTTTCTGAATAGGGTGGATATTGTATTGTTGTAACAAAAAAAAGCTTACTTCCACACCCTTCTGTATCCTTAGCCTTATAAGATTACTTCTTGATTAATGCAACAACCATTTGCTGCTAGAATGAGGTAATGGTCATGACAAATCAATAGATAAGATGAATGTTTCGTTGGAATCACAAACAAAAAATTTGTGGAGGATAATGGTATAAATAAATAATATCAAGAATGATAAATGCAGTCCCCACTAGATACCATTGGAGTAATACACTATCCAGATATTATTTAATATATGCCTGCAGCATATAAAATAAAAAAATTGTGACACAGATTAATGGACACATACCTTAGTATATAGCAGGGATGCCCAGCTTGGGTACAATTAGGTCACATAAGTAGCCCTTAATAGGCCCCTTCATCCCACGAATAGAGACATAACATTTCTGAAAATGTTGAAACCACCAAAACAAACAAGCCTTCGAGAAAAAATGGAAATTTGGAGAAAATAGAATTATATGCAGTATCCATTTCTACACCGTCCTTTACTGATCTAAACTGACACTGCTATTTTAAGAACATACAATGCATTAGTATAATTTGGTTTGCTCATATTATGTTTAATTATTTTATACTAAATGTTTTGAGAACTTTTATCTAGTGCTCTAGAACTTTTGAAATGTTAGCAACAAAGAAATTCACAAGCAAATCAGGCATCCTCTTTGGTAAAAGTGGCAATGCCTGCTGAAAGCACTAGTTGTATTCTGTATACAGGAATAGTAAGATACTGAGTATACTGAGAAAAGTCTTCCTGTGTTCTATTATAGAAAACATTGTGGGTCAATAAAAGATACTGATGCATGGTATCTTGTCTTATTGCATTCATTTTTTTTACAAAAAAAGTTCATGTTTCCTCTCTACTTTTTCCATTTTTCCAGAAGAAATGTTTCTAAAAATAAAATAAACTTTTCCCCCCTCCAGAAATCTTTTACTTTTTTTACTTTTCCGTCGGTGAAAAGAGAATGGCAAAGGATAGGAACAGAATAAAGGTACAGAGTAAGAATTATAAAAAGCAGACATTAATACATGCCAGTTGCCAAGCATCCAGATTTTGATCACATGACCATGGGGATTCTGCAACAGTTGTAAGTGTGAAAAATAGTCAGAAGTCACTATTTTCAATGCCGTGGTAGCTTCAGTTATTGAATGGTTGTAAGTCAAGGGCTACCTCTACAACTGTATAAAAGGAGGAGCAGGTAGCATATTAACCTCTATTCTGTCCAGCAACTCTCACCAGATTGCTCCACCACCTCATAGATGGCAATGTTTTTTAATACTTCTTAGCTTAGCAAATGTTATCGGAATGGGAAACTTGTCACAGCCAACCTGCCCTGGCCAATTCGCCACTAGACAACTCGCTACAGCCAACTCCTTTGGGACAACTTACTGCATGACAATTTAACAATTCTATTTAATTATTTAAAATCAATAAATATATATATATTAATTTTTACCATTCACATTTCATTCTGTCTCTCCTTTTGCATCCTTTAATGATTCTATTCCACAATTTCTTTGATATTAGTGTAACTCTTGTTCCGCAGTGAGTTGTCCATGGCAAGTTGTCTATGGTGAATTGTCACAGATACAATGTTATTGTTCGAAATCTACCACCTCCAAAATAGATGGGAGTTATATAAGAAATACAGCAGGATCAAAAACTATGCCTCTGATTCCCCAAACATAACTTTAGAGACTACTGGAAGACACATGCAACTGTCTATGGAGACCCAAAGATTTAAAATTTGGATTTGGATTCATTTCCCCAGTTGATGACCTCATATCCTTTGAAAACATTTCCTTATAACAAGGAAGCTTTTAGTGCCAGATAGTATCCAATAAAAGTAGAGTTAATACTAGGCTGATGAAAAAATATTTCTTATGTTAATATGGCAAGCCAAGTTTTAAAAATTATCCAGTGTCTAGAATAGCACCATATATTTATAAAAGTATTTAAAATATTTTACTTTTCTACTTACACTTTAAGTACATATGCTTGTTACATATAGTTGTATTCAACAAAATATATAATGTTTATTGTTGAATCTAGAAATGTCATTTTGCATATGGAAGGGAGAAAGAATTTTTCTTATTTAGTATAAAATGCTTAATGTAGAAAAGAGAACAAAACTCTAAAGTATATTTCTCTTTGTGGAAGCTGCCCATGTTATCTGTGGAACAGCATCACTGCCATAGTCAATTTATTTATTATTATTATTATTATTATTATTATTATTATTATTATTAATAATTATTTTGCAAACTTGAGAAAGTATCTCACCATAAAACATTAAATATTATGCAAAACAAACATCACATTTAATATTTCATATTTTTACATCTTTTTCTAAAAAGCTAATAAAATCACTGAATTAAAATGTAAAACATCATTCAAATTAGGGGAAAAAAAGAAGTTTTGAGCTTATATTTTACCTTTGCATTCAGGAACAGACCCTCTCCAGATCCCAGTTTTATTATCTTCAGTTATACAATGGAGAAGATCATCTCTAGAAAGTGAAAAGCCAAGATCACAGATATAGGTGACTTTTGAGTTAAGGGGAAAAGTTCCATTCTTTCCTCCGGTATAAGCTCCATTCTTTATTTCTGGAGGAGGAGGACAAGTGGGCCCTGAAACAAAGACAAAATTTTGTGACTTGTAAAAAATTTGCCAAAACAAATGAGTAACTATTTTTTCTAGGAGAGGAAGCTGGATTGTCTGTCTGTCTCTTTACCTAAATGGACACTATGAAGAATATGGTAGCACCAAGTCAGTTGAATCCAGGTCTACAGAGGCTATTGGAGGTCAGGTTTGGCTTGATTATCTGGGGGAGAGTTTGATCTTGTCAGGCCTGAGGAATTAGATAGGATCCTTCAAACTGTTAGCTTGGCCATCTCTGTATTAGATCCATCCCTCTCCTAGCTAGTCAAGCAACCTTTGGTTCTGATGATAGTTAATTCCTCTTTGAGAAAGGGAGTGTTCCTGCCATGTCTTGGTTTACCCCTCACAAAGGGCCATTAGTAGATCTCACTGTCCTTAATAATTTCCATCCAGTATCCAATCTTCCATTTTTAGGAAAGATTGTAGAGAGGGTGACTGTGCTAAAGATTTAGAGGGCCGTGGAAAAAGGAAATTGTCTGGAGCCTTTCCAATGAAGATTCAAACCTGATATGGGAGTGAGACAGCATTAATTACACTCTTGGATGATAATTCAATTCCAGAAGAGAGATTAAAACAGAACAAACACAAAAGGGAAAAACCCATGAATGCCACAAGACATCTAGTTCCCTGTATCAGCTTTAATCCAATTTCTGAGTGCCTGAAACTAGCATGAGGAGCTGCTAAACTTAGAGATGCTCCAGTGGAATCCCAGAGTGTTCTAAGCATTTCATACTCCTTCATTGCCCCGCTGCAATCCACAGGCGAATCCTGGCCCCAGGCTGTTTGAAAGAATTAAAGAAACTTACTGAAACATATTGGAGGTTTTGGTTTCCATATGACTGTATTATTAGAAAGTGTACGTGGTAAGCACTGGCTTGTAGGTGATCCAATTAATTGGTACCTCAAGAAAAGAAAAAAGAACATAATACATGTTAATCTCTTTCTCCTTTAAAAGATTGGAGAATACTATGGATAGCCAAGAAAACACCTATATTATTGAAGATTTACTGTATTACTTAAGACAAATTATCAGGGTGAAAATACAACATTTTGGGCATATTATGTGAAGAAGCAGGTCCCTTGAGAAGTCCATGTTTCTGGGGAAGGAGAGAAGAGAATGGCACAATTACAGCAGTAATGGGTGCACTATTGGGAGATATGAAAATTATGTAAGCAAAGACAGTTACCAGACAGACTTCTTTCCTTCCTTCCTTCCTTCCTTCCTTCCTTCCTTCCTTCCTTCCTTCCTTCCTTCCTTCCTTCCTTCCTTCCCTCCCTCCCTCCCTTTTTACCTCCCTTCCTTTTTTTCTTTTTCATATTTGCTTACATCGTTAAGAACAAATCTAGTCATTTCATAAGTGGCAAAAAGTCCAACTCCACTATAAAAATTCTCATCCACAGCAAAGTAAACATTGGAAAACAAATCATGAAAAAGTGGAACATTCATTTTTTTGATTCGTCCTTATTGATTTACTGTGCTACTGCCATGCTGACCACTTGCAATCTCCGTGTGTCTTCCCTGAGCCTTGCTACATTCATGCACCCTTTCTCTGAGTCTTGCTGCTTTACAAATGCATCACTTAGCAACGAAAATTCCAGTCCCAATTACTGTCTAAAATAAAGGACTACTTGTATCATAATTAGATTTTGCTAAGCCAGCTAACTCAACACGCACCCTTCACTACAGGTGAAATTTACTCTTGCTTTTAGCAGGAAATCCATTAGAATAATGCGGTCACCATTTTCTGGTTTCCCTGGATCACCACATGATTGTCCTAATAGAAAAAAAATATTGAGAATTACTGTTCTATGCCTCTGTATATATATGCCATAATTTCAATCAGTCATAAAGAAATCTTATACATTTTCTTGGGAGAACAGTCATACTGGAAAGACAAGCTAATTTATATATTGTAATTTAATGTAATCAACAAAAATTAATGCCCTGAAAAATGCTCAACATTAGATAGAAGATAACTTTATTATAGTCCCTGACCAGCAACACAGAGATCAATAAATAAAATTATGAGTTGTAGTTTCAAAATATATTCTAGCTGAATTGATGAACCCTAATAATATATTGGTGAGCTTTATTACTTAGCAGATAATGGGTATCTTGCAAATAAATAATGGGCTATTTATCTGATAAAAGTTCAGAAACATAAAAATCATCTGGATATCCAGCAAGGATAGTAAAAGAAGTGAAATGAAATTGTTGTATGTACAGTATTTCCATAAAATGTAATAAATAATTAGAAAGGATTCAAAGTGCAGATTATGCAAAGAAGCAGAAGAAACAGTAGATCATATATTCAGATCATGCAAGAACATTGCACAAACTGATTATAAACAATGACATAACACAAAATGATACACTGGAACATTTGTAAAAATAATTATGTGCCAAAAATGAAAAATTGATGTGAACATACAGTAGAAAAAGTAGTTGAAAATATTGTGGGATTTATGAATAAAAAGTGATAAAGTCCCAATTCATAATATTCCAGATTTATCTGTGGTTGTAAAAAAGATAAACATGGATATGCAGCAATGATGGGGGATACTACGATAGAAGACAAAATATTAAAGAAACAAAGTATCAAGATCTGAAAATCAAAAGATTATGGACATAAACTGGCTATGTTGTTCCCAGTGGTTATTGGTTATCGGCCCACTGGTTGCCATAGCAAAAATATCTGCACATTGATAAAATTTCCATTTGTCAATTACAAAAGGCCACACTGCTTAGATCTTCACATATGCTATGCCAATATATTACAACATGGGTCAATATAAAAGAGAAAAAAGTGACATTATCATAGGTGTATATTACAGGCCACCCAACCAACAGAAGAAATAGATGAACTCTTTGCCAACCAGTTAACAAATGTATGTAGGAAGCATATCACAGTAGTAATGGGAGACTTCTACTATTCAGATATCAACTGGGAGACAAACTCTGCAGTGAGCCGGGAGATCAAACAGATTTCTAATCAACCTAGCTGACAACTTTGTCATCCAAAGGGGGGAGGAGGGAACTAGACGCAAAGCTATACTGGACTTAATCCTTACAAATAGAGAAGTGATAGAGGGAATCAAAATTGCCGGAACCTTGGGTGAAAGTGACCATGTCATACTGGAATTTTATATAAGGCAAACACTAGAAACAGGAAACAATCCAACAACATCCTAAACTTCAAAAGAGCCGACTTTAACAAACTCAGAGAGAACTTAGGAAAGATCCCATGGATGAAAATCCTAAAGGGGAAAATAACCTAAGAAGCATGGGAAACCCTGAAAAATGCAATCACAAAAGCTCAGACCAGCACAATACCATTGAGAAAGAAAAACAAGAAATCCAAGAAGAAACCAGTATGGCTGTACAAAGATCTCTCTAACAAACTAAAAGACAAAAAGGACAAATACAAAAAATGGAAAGAGGGGCACATAACCAAGGCCGATTATCAGCAGACAGCCAAAACATGCAAAGAAGAAGTCAGGAAAGCAAAGGCCCAGAATGAACAAAGACTCGCAACAGAAATCAAGGACAACAAAAAAAAATTCTTCCAACATATTAACAACAACAAAAAAGTCAAGGAACCTGTTGGCCCACTAAAGAGAGAAGATGGCAAGGAAATTACAGGCAATAGGGAGAAAGCAGAGCTCCTTAACTCATACTTTGCATCAGCCTTCACAAAAAAAAACCCATAGCCCAACAGACCAAAAAGAAAAAGAAAAAAAGACCTGGCTTAAAAACAGTAACTGTGAGAGGGACCTTGGAGTCCTAGTGGACGATCACTTAACTATGAGCCAGCAGTGTGCAGCAGCAACCAAAAAAGCTAATACAATCCTGGGTTGTATAAACAGAGGCATTGAATCAAGATCACATGAAATATTAGTACCACTTTATAAAGCCCTAGAAAGACCAGAATACTGCAGCCAATTTTGGTCACTATATCACAAAAAAGATATTGAGAGTTTGGAAAAAATTCAGAGAAGAGCAACTAAGATGATCAAAGGCCTGGAGACCAAAACATAAGAAGAATGGCTGCGGAACTTGGGTTTGGCTAGTCTAAAGAAAAGAAGAAATAGGGGAGATATGATAGCAGTATTCCAGTACTGGCAGAGGGAGTCAGGTTGTTCACCAGAGCACCAGAGGGCAGAACAAGAAACAATGGTTGGAAACAGATCAAAGAGAGAATCAACCTAGAATTAAGGAGAAACTTCCTGACAGTGAAGACAATCAATCAGTGGAACAGCTTACCGCCAGAAATCATGGGCGCTCCATCACTGGAGATTTTTAAGAAGAGACTGGACAATCACCTGTCTGAGATGCTATAGGTTCTCCTGCTTGAGCAGGGAAGTGGACTAGAAGACCTCCAAGATCCCTTCCAACTCTATTCTATTATAACATCTAGATTCTTGGAAAAAAAACCTCGATGCAGATGAAGACCAATATCAGCAAAAGAGCTGGCAGCTGTGATTTTCCATTATTGTGTATAATAATAATAACAACAACAACAACAGGGAAATAGTTTTCAATAATATTTTTAATAAGTTTGGTTTTTCTTTTTTATATAGTGTCACTTTTTTTTTCAAGAAAAGAATTTATCACTATTTATAATTTTACTGTGCTGTCTGTTGCTTCCAGTATTTGTATTAATAATGACACACAAGTTTTAAATTATATAATATACCAAGTATCTTCAATCACTTGCCTAATTATTGAAAAATAATTACATTTATAATCTCTCATTTTTTTCCTCTGATTTTATTCCTTCACTCTTTGTTTTCTTTAATTTTTTTATTGTGGAAAAAAATGAGATAAGAATATGCAAGGTAGCCAACTTTTTCAACAATCCAAGAACTAAGAAGGTAAACATGTTCATTAAAAGGGGAATAATTAAATGTACCATCTAGCAAAGAAGATGACAGAAGTATTAAAATAGACTGGGTAGAGTTAAAATGGTATCAATCCTGGGAGTTGAATTCTGGGAATTGAAGTCATGCATCTTAAAGTAATTGAGGTTGAGAAACACTACTCTAAAAGAATGCATTAATATGACTGAAGCATCATCCTTATCTGGGGCAACGCTGGATTTCTTGGAAAGCAATGAGCCAGTTTGGTTTAGTAGTTAAGGCACTTGGCTAGAAAGAGGAAGGCCATGACTGGCCCAAAGCCACACAGTTAGCTTTCATGGCTGATACTTCAGGCATATTAATGCATTTCTTTAGAGCAGTGTTTGTCAACCTCATTGCTCTTTCAGCCCAACCAACCTCACAGGGTTGTTGTGGAGAAAATAGGAGAAAAGTGTATTGGATACATTTGCTGCCTTGAGTTATTTATAAAAAATAATAAAGACAGAAAATAAATAAAAGACACACTGAATATACAGCAGCAAAACAGAGTCAGAGTCAGACAAGAGTCAGACTTCTTTTCATAATCACCACTGGAAATAGCTTACAAATGGTTTTTCAGATATCAAGAATCTTCAGAATGTCACATTTAATCACACAGGGTGAGTTTTATGCAAGTTTAAGGACTTATAAATTTCTTATTTTGAAATAAAGCAGAAAGATTATTAGAATATTGGTTTGGGGTAATTATAAATAGATTAAATGGGCTTGAATTTCAGTCTTGAAATTAATTACAAGAATCCTTTCTGTGGGTTGTTTAGAATTCTATAAAAGATACAGTAAGTTTTTGAAATTAAGTATAAGAATCCTTCCCAAGGGGAAGTGTTATTGATTAGAAAATCTATATGGGACCAGAAAGAACTAAAGTTCATAATTAACTGAAATAATTAAAAAATAAGAGATCTACTGATAAAGAATGGAGCAACATACTGTACTTTGGAATAATTCAAGAATATTTGAAAACATTATGGGAGCAGCTTTGATGCTAAATATAATCATTTAAAGCCAAAAACTCTGGTGTCTGGAGATTGTCAGCATTTGGACAGGGGCCAACAGGCTTCAACTGAACCCAAGCAAAGCTGAGTGTCTTTGGATACTGGAATTCCCTGGTTATGAGGACTTTCCTTCTTGGTCTGGATGGGGTTGCGCCACTGCAACTATGTGCAACTTTTGGGTCTTTTTGGACTCACAACCCCTGTTTGAAGATCAGGTGGCAGCGGTTGCAAGGAGCGCCTTAGCACTACCCATGTTGTGCACCAGTTATTCCTATTCCTGCACCAGCAGTCTTGCTGACTTTAGTCATCTCTCATATGGATTACTGCAACATGCTCTACCTGGGGCTTCCCTTGAAGAGTATTCAGAAACTTCAACTGAAGTAAAATGCAACTACGTGTGCAGTTAAGTGCATTTCACAATCAGCGCAAGTTACAACCTTGCCCCACAACCCACAATGGCTACCAGACTGCTTCTGTGTCAAATTCAAGGTGCTGGTTATGAGCTATAAAGCCCTACACAGCATGGGACCAGGTTACTTGAGAGACCAGCTCCTCTCAATCACATCTTCTCATTCCATCAGATCCAGCAGGCTCTGGATCCTGTCAGCTAGGGAGCATCACCTAACAGGGCCAAGGAGGAAAGCTTTTTCTGTTATGGAACCCACCCAGTACTGCCAGAGATCTGATTGGTCACAACGCTGCTAGCCTCTTGAAAGATTCTGAAGACATTATTTTGAAACAGGGAATGTGGCAGAACCAGTATAGTGGTTGTACCAAGTGGTATTGTTACACTGTCTATGAATTTTTATGATGCTTTTTATTTGCCTTTGTATTATATTGCATTGTTTTTGTTGTGTTTCATATTGTTGTATTTGTTTTATTTGTTTAACCACTTAAATCATATATATGAGCAGATATATTAATTGGAATAATAAAATAAATAAATAAATAAATAAATAAAATTATTAATCTCCATTCTGGCATTTAAATTACATACTGTATTAAGAGAAGATAATAATTGGCAGAAGGCCTAGTTTGGACTATAAATGCCAATGTATAATAATAATTATAAAAATTATAAATTAATATCAAACTGAAGTGTTTACATTTTGTAAGTGCCACTATCACTCTATGAGCAGAAAAGGTCTGAATTATTTCTACTTGAAGATGAATATAATCAATCACCCTAGATCACACCTAGATCCCCTTTCTCACTGTGGAAGCCATTATTCCAACCTGAATCATAGCCATCAACCCTCAAGTCACCTAGTGCCTAGGTTTCTGGCAGAAATAAAATAATAAATCTGAATAAATATTTCATAAAAGAAGGTCAAACGTTAGCCAATATCTAGCAGTATTCCATGAGATTAAAAACGTGCTGTAACTACATGCCAGGCAGTTCACAGCCAATCCATAAGCAGTTCCTCAAAAAGGAAATAATACTAAATATTATAATATTTACTATTTATAATATAATACTAAAAATAAAGATGCCAATAAATGCATATGATATCAACCAAACTAAAAATATAGTGTATCTATTAGTCTTTTAAGAGTCTCAGAAGTGTAATTCAGGAATTCAGCACCATTATAAACATTATTAATTAACTGCACACATCAGTTGGGCCATGTAGGATCATACCTTTGTAAAATCATTACCAAATGAATCAGCAATTATTCAATGCAATTTTGAAGTTAGTAGCAATGGAAGATCCTGACCTTTACAAAAAACGGGGACTGATGACCAGGTATAATCCGAAAGGCAAGTAATAGCAAGCCTTTTTGGATGACCAGGAATGTGCTCAGCGCTTCGATGGCAAATATGGTGCACAACTGATCCCACAGGATAAAAATGAAGAAATTCATCATCCACTACAGAAAATCTGGTCTCTCGTGGACCCTCACAGCCACCTGTGGACAAAAGCAGACAGAAGCTTTATAAAAGAAAGGCTTTTTTTTTACTTTTTTTTAGTTGTTAAAATATGTGTTATGTATATTTATTATATGTTGATAACTGATAGAAGAAAGGGCATTCACGTCACTAGCTGCTATGTTTAACCACTTCCTGGCAGTAATCTCACGCCCAAGAAATGAGTCTACATTTCTTGCTTCATTCTGATTATGATTGACCCACCCAAGTGACTCCATAGAATGACACTGGGCCAGGGGAATGTGGCTGAAAGAATGATGAAAACCAAATCACAATGCAGACATTGAAAGGAGGTAATAAAAAAATAATACAGAAAGATGTCTGAAACAGGAAGAAAAGTTGTTCAAGATAAGAATCTTTAATGTTTTATCAGATTCATACCATATGTTTGGAAACTATCAAATAGTATTTAGAACAGAGTTCATAAATGTGGAAGATGAAAAATATACTACCTTTTATGATCCTACTGAAATTCTTTTAGAGAAAAAAATCATTATTTTGTTCATATTTTGCTATTGTTTGTATTTAGTTGTTAAGCTTTTTTATATTTGGCTCTTATTGCACTTGTTAAATGACCACAATCCTTGCTTTCCACGTTACAGTCATTAAGTGAGTGTGGGTTATTAAGAAAAGCTTGGGGTATCTCAGTCATAAGGAAGGCTGTGGTCCCTTACCCTCATGCTTTTGCTTAATAACCTACAATGTCACTTAACATCTGTAACATGGAAGCAAGGATTGTGGTCATTTAGCAAGGTGATCATGAGGATGCCTTATTTAACAACCTCACAACTTATGACCATAATGGGAAGGCTTCATTATAGTTGTAAGTTGAGGACTACCTATACTTAAATTGTTCATTAAACTGGAGAGGTGGAAGGAAGAAACTGCTATACCATATTTGATTACTTTTAGTATCACTGTATTTATTTCTTCTCACTTTTTTCTCCCACCGTTGTATTTTAGTGTTTCTGCAGATATCATATGGGTATATGCCTTTTTGCTTGCTTTGATATTAGCATTTCATCACAATCTTTTTTATAGAAAAGATTGTTAAAAGGATGGCGTTTCCACTTAGTATACATGTGTTAATTAAGTTTTAAAAATGAAATCAGAAATTGATCAGTATATTTGTTGAATTTATTTACCAAATTAATCTTCATAGACTTTAAGCAGTTTACAGATGCTAAAATTGCAATAAAATTATATATTTAAATTTCAGTAACAAAACTATAATGATTAATATCAAATTATAAAAAACATAGACATCTAAGTGTCTAAAACTTCAATCACTTCACAAATGTTTTCTGGAAAAATCAAGATGTATTACTTTTAGAAAATTATGGAGAAGATGGGCATAGACTATTTTGGAAAGGCAGTCTCTTAAATAGCCAGGTTTTAGCCATATACAACTTTAAAAGTAGCAACCAGATTTTTTTTCAACCATTTTATTTTACTTGAAAGATCAAAATACAAAAGAAAAAAATTAAATAGAGACAAAAGTAAACTAAACAAAAATATTCTAAAAATGTGAATTAAAAAGAAACAAAGGATAAAAGGATATTAAAAAGAAACAAAGGATAAAAATACGTATTATCCCCCTGACAAATCTATTGCAACAATAATAGTTCTGCCCCTTGCAAACCAGGTCCAAAATGTATAAGGTATTTGCAACTCAATTGACCTGTCATACATTACATATATGAAAGGAAAAATAGTTAACGTGTTAAACAACAGCAAAGTTTAAGTTCAAAGTACTCTGTTAACAGTCTGTTATTATAATTTCCTCTTAGAAAGTCTACAGCGGTTTCTTATTTACCACAAATCACCCCGATCAGTATCTCTGAATCCAGGGGCAAATACCCTCATTTGGTTCTTAATAGTGAAACTTTTCCTTAGGTTTTTAATCAGAAACTTTCCCAACAATTGCATCTCATTTCCAAAGTTCATAAGTCCTTGTTGTAAATATCTCTGCAACATCCATTGTTGAATTATTCTCCTTGACAACATAACATTCCTCATGCCATGAAAGTCCAGTCCATCCTTCATTATATCTATTATCTCAAAATTTCTTACATTCATGCTTCTTTCAATCTTTTCTGGAAGATGTATATCTTTCAAACAAACACTTCTTTCTTCTTTTTTTTATAGATATTTTATTAGTTTTTAACTATAACAGTCTCCAGTGCCTGGCGTACAGCGTGTTGTCTTGGTTTATATTTTAAAAAGACACATCTTTCATGTCTGAATTTGCTCCGCTGGGAGACCCTGGAAAGGGTCGAAAGTCTCCCCGTATAGGTGACGAGCAAGGAGGGGACCCCTGTTTGATCACAGGAGGGCAGTGGCCCTTCCATTTGATCCAGGGAAGCCCTCCAAACTGCAGGGGAATGACCGGTCACAAAGCTGCTGACAGCTGAAGCAAAAAGTACCACCAAGCAACTTTCAAGCAACATGGATGAAACTAATAATAATAATAACGATGATAAAGTTGGAGGTCATCTAGTCCAACCCCCTGCTTAGGCAGGAAACCCTACACCATTTTGGACAAATGGCTGTCCAGTTTTTTCTTAAAAACTTCCAGTGTTGGCTCATTCACCGCTTCTGGAGGCAGGTTGTTCCACTGGTTAATTGTTCTAACTGTCAGGAAGTTTCTCCTTAGTTCTAGGTTGCTTCTCTCTTTGGTTAGCTTCCACCCATTGCTCCTTGTCCTGCCTTCAGGCGCTTTGGAAAATAGCCTGATCCTCTCTTTAAAGTCCTAAGTTTTATTTCCTGAAAAAGCTGCCCAAAGCATTTTTCCTCCTGTGAGGAGAGAGGGAAGGGAACTTCTACCCCACCCTCTAAGAAAAGCGGCGACTAACTAACCAGGGGAAACAGAGCAAACCATAAGATTAATTTTAAATTAATTGGATATATATTTTTTTGAAACTTGGAGACTAAAAGTGTTCTTTTCTCTTATTGGAGACTTTTGTCTTAAAAAAAAAAAGACTTGAAAAACCACCATATAAGTTTTGGACTTAAAAAGCTATAAAACAGCATTGGTGACATCTTGTGGTGAATTGTGGTATTACAATTTGTTATTGTCTAAAAGAAACCTGGCTTGAAGCCCAGACTTCAGATAAGACTTGTTTGGCCTTGACAGCGACTACCTTTGAAAAACCAACTGCAAAGAAGAAATCTCTGGGCAGTTTATCTGTGTGGCAGACTGTTTTGGAAACTGGCTTGCTTGAATTATGAATCTAAACTTTTACTGACTCTCAGAGCTATGCTTATGGAACTACTTTCCTATTTCCCTGCATGAGAAGCATATATTATTACACGAGATGATGAAACACTTTGGATTATAAACTCTTACTTGATAAACAATTTCTATTATAAAGACCACCTATAAAAAGTAAAATAGATGTCCCATACCTAGCTACAAAAGACAAAAAAATATTTTTAACATTTGACTCTAAAGTCTTCAACTTAACATACTATCAAGAAAATATGGATGAAGATCAGGAAAAAAATCCTTTCCATGTTGAAATCAATACACAAAACTATTCTTTCAGCTTGTAATAAAATAAGAAGCAACACAAAAGAACAATGTTCTAGCTTAAATGTACAAACCCAGATCTTGATTACAAGCAAACAATTAACAACGCAGAAAACAAAAGGAAAATTGGAACAACTAAATGCTAAGATAGAGGAGCCAACTGACCAACAGACCCAGCCAACTGAAAAATCAGAAAATGGAGTGACAACATTGAAAATGGAAAAGACTTTTCACAAATTAAGAAATCAGAACATATTTGAGGAAAAGGAAGAAGAACAGATTGAATGGAAGATAAAGCTATTAGGACAATTGTGGGAAATCGGAGTAACTGGGAGGCGGTTTAATGAATTCCAATGGGCTTATTCTTCCCAAAAAACTTCAACCAAATGGTCTTTCTTATTCCAAATAATATATATAAAAATAGAGGAGAACTGTTCGATGATGCAAAAGGCATTGACATGGAAGGTTAGCTGGCAAGGGAAGAAAGCCAGAGTAAGGCTGAAGAAAATAATGGCTTTGACTTATTAGAAGGGATATTATATTACCAATTAGAGACGGTTGAATATGGTGGAAAATAGATAACTTTTAGAAAATAGAGTAATATTATAATCAAATAGATAAGATGTGTAACCAGAATATTAGACTTTGGTAGGAAAAGGGAAAAAGGAAGAAGTTGAGTTAAGGGAAACCTTTGGTCACCTAAACATAAAGTACTTGGAAATCATAAATAAAATTTTGAATATTGATGGGAAATTAAAGCTTGAAAAAAAAGCAGTAATAGGACATTGATTGTATACAAGGATTACGTGCAAATGCAATTAAGACATGTATAAGCTAAAAATTATTGATAACAGTTACAAAGATGTTTTTATTTAGTTGATAACAATAAGAATTGCTAGCCCAATATGAGAAACAGATATTAATGGAAAAAGAGAGGAAATATTTGATGTTGTAACGTGAGATTTATACTAAAGATTTATGTACACTATTGAATCATTGACTAACCCAGTATCACATTGCTTTTTAAATATCCAATTGTAAAATGAGAAAATCAATAAAATATTATATAAAAAAAGAATATTGTGGGTGGTGTAAGTGGTGGGTGATTTCTTCCAATCCTTTGGCTTAAGTGTTAAGTAAAGTAAGGGATGGAATCAAGTCTGGGGCATGCCATAAAAGAATCTGAGGTCTGGATTTTTCCCCACTCAAAACATCTGCTCATGTAAAAATATAACCACTATAACATGGTGCCTCCAACTTTCAGTTTCACAGCTCAATCTTCATGAACTTCTGAAGTCCAGCAAAAAGGCAAGGTGTTAGCCTGAGATTACTCCATCTTGCCCTGTCAAGGATCTTCCCTCAGAAAGAAAAATTTGAAAAACAATATGTGTACATGCAGGAAAGGAACATTTTCAATTTATGTTTTCTGTAAGATAGCAGAGGAGCTTCATATAGGGAGGCCTATCTTGTACTGATTTTTGAAGCTTATTAATGATTTGTAACTTCTGTGTGAATTGACTATTCATACATTGGCCAACTTGCCTGTTTCAGGGACAACAAAGTAGCTAGCCTGATTTCCACAAGGAAATGCTATGACACAAACGTAGCGCCCCAAAGCCTCCTAAAAGTGTAGGTTTTCTAGCTGTTGCTTCCTGTTTATCTAATCAGTCAGACTGTTATTAATTGGAAAGGGAGTCTTGTGGGTATCCAGGTGCCAAGCTATAAGGACTTTAGAGATCAAACCCAGCACTTTAAATTGGACCTAGAACCCAACTGCTAGTCAATGCAGGGTCCAAAAATGCAGTTTGATGTTCTCCCAACTTTCAGAGCTCTAAAGTATGTGGGCCACTGCAATTTGGATCAACTGCAGTTTTTTTAAAGGCAGTCCCAAGTAGAATGCATTACAGTAGACTAGTCAGGTGGAAATAGTTCATGAGATTGGCTTGAATCATTGACTTCTATTAAATAGTTTCAAGATAACGATGACATTCAACTCTGAATATAAATTGCTTTTATACACTGATAAAATGATAGTTATTCTCAATAATTATGCAATAACAGAGCTTGTTAAAGTTCCATAACAAGAGTATTTATACTCTCATTATAGCTTTACCTGGAATGTTTAATTTATTATTGCAGGAATTCACTATATTTATAGATTATTTGTCATGCCTCCGTCTGAGCCTGAATCGGAGGAGGAAATGGAGCCGGAACAGGACCCTATCGAGGCCCAGGGAGAGGTGTTTGTGGCTTCAGAGGACTGTGGAGAGGAGCAGGCTAAGGCAGGCCAAGGCCCTTCAAGTTTGGAACAGGGGAGACAGAGTTCAAGTGAGGAGCAAGGCCCATCCCCACCTGATCCTAGAGCTAGGAGAGTGGAGAGGAGGAGGGAACAATGCAGGCAGGTTCACTTGCTCAGGAGGAGAGCGTCCCGCCCCACCCCACAAGGCACACCTGGGGATTGAGATATAAGAAGCCGCTGTGGGGTGGGGACTTTGTCCGGAACAAATGTTGAATCTTGGGAAAGTGTGTATTGTTGCTCTTGTTCTGTATCTTTGGAAAACCTGGACACCTTGACAACCCGACCGGCTGACCACATGGATTTTCTGAATTACGACCTCAGACTGCATTTTGACTTTTCTCTTTGCAAACTCTGCAGGCAAGCTGAGATTCAAGTGGACTCATTAAGCTGATGTTTTGTTTGGTTTGTTATCTTTATGGCCTTGAGGACATTCTTATAATAATCAGGCTGTATTGAAACTGCCTTCAGCCAAAGTCGGCTGGAAGGTGAGCGTGTGAATTTGGATTGGAGGCTTGCCAGCAAATGTGGGAGCATTTGAAGGAAATTTGCAACCATTAAAGAACTGTTTACATTGCTAGCTGTCTGCGTTGCCTTTGTGCTGTGCCCTGGGTCATCATATTATTCTAAAAAGGCAGGATTTGAATTTGTACAAAAATAAAATACTTCAGTTTATACTTTTCTTGCTTGATAAAAAAAACGTCCATGAAAGAGACCTAAAACAAGACAACATCAGCAAGTATTGAGGGCCCAATTGGCAAAAGAAAGCTCAGAACTGTATAGGATGGAAACACATAAAAGAGACCTTCATCCTGCAGTAGATAGATATGATGATGAAGATGAAGATGATGATGATACTTTTCTTGAAAAACACTGCAGTATGTTCTATTATATATGTATAAATTTAGAATAGAATAGAATAGAATAGAATAGAATAGAATAGAATAGAATAGAATAGAATAGAATAGAATAGAATAGAATAGAATAGAATAACAGAGTTGGAAGGGACCTTGGAGGTCTTCTAGTCCAACTCCCTGCTCAAGCAGGAAACCCTATACCATTTCAGACAAATGTCTGTCCAATCTCTTCTTAAAAAATTCCAGTGATGGAGCATTAACAACTTCTGGAGGCAAGTTGTTCCACTGGTTAATTGTTCTAACTGTCAGGAAGTTTCTTCTTAGTTCTAGGTTGCTTCTCTCCATCCATTGCTTCTTGTTTTGCCCTCAGGTGCTTTGGAGAATAGCTTGACTCCCTCTTCTTTGTGGCAACTCCTGATATATAGGAACACTGCTATCATGTCACCGCTCGTCCTTCTCTCCATTAAACTAGACATACTCAATTCCAGCAACCATTTCTTATAGATTTTAGCCTCTAGTCCCCTGATCATCTTTGTTGCTCTTCTCTGCACTCTTTCTAGAGTCTCAACATTTTTTTTACATCATGGTGATCAAAACTGGATGCAGTATTCCAAGTGTGTCCTTACCAAGGCATTGTAAAGTGGTATTAATACTTCACATGATCTTGATTCTATCCCTCTGTTAATGCAGCGTAGAACTGCGTTTGCTTTTTTGGCAGCTGCAGCACATTGCTGGCTCATATTTCAGTGACTGTCCACTAGGACTCCAAGATCCCTCTCACAGTTACTACTGTATAAATGTATAGCTATAATTTCAGTAGGTATAACTCAATGATTAGAGTTTGTATTAGTCTTTGGAGTAAGATTAATGTTATCAAAACAAATATTAAATATAAATTAATGTCTTAACAGAGTTTCCAATGCCTCTTGGATACTTTATAAAGATAAATGAATTAATAAGAACATTTTTATGGTTAAATTAATAAGAACTTATTGTAGGATAAAGCCCTTCAACTATCATTGGCCAAATTTATTTTATAAGGATGGTAACTATCAGATTTTCAGCTATATTAATTCTTGGGCTTTTATTTTAATGTCTGTATTCTTTCATATTATTCCAAGCAGCTTCTACATTATTTTTATGTTTATTTTCCATTTTTTCCTTTGTATGATTAAGCTATCTTCTAATACTACATATAAGAATTGAATTTTCCATTCCTACAGTTGTTATATTTTATTTTGTTCCTTTTCTTCTAAGGCCATTTTATCCCAAGATCCATTGTTACTAAAACATGATCTGCCAACACTTAGAACCACTCTTCCTCCTTGTAGCCTTCACTAAATTAAATATAAGATCAATTGTGGTTTTTATATAGTGAAAGCTTGAGATAATTATTCAGTGTTCTTATTAATTGTGAGGTCTCCAGATGCCCCAGTGATTCTATATTCTCTTGTCTTATTTCCAATTATTCATTCTCGTCACTTAACACAATAAAGGTTTCCCCTGGGACAATTTCCAGTGACGTGAGGAGACCCTATACCCTCATTTTTCATGGGGGAGTTATAGCCAAATTCTGCAGCTAGATGTGAGACCCATACTGCAGAAATACTCTATAAAAGAAAGGAAGATCTCTAATTTAGAGATTATCTGAATAATGTTATACAGCCTGCATTCAAACACTTAGAAAATAGATGCATAGCTGTATATCCTTTGCAGCATTTTATACATCTTCAATTACTATATTGGTATTGTAATATTTAGAAAAAACAGCAAATTTATTCATATATAATTGAATGCCAATGGGATAGCATCACTAATTCTTAATTTGCCTTCTTGAACTCATAGAAATAGAGCATAAATCTGTCAGAATGCAGTTACCAAGAAAATCAAGAAAAAGAAAACAACATCGGATTCTGAAAATAGCAAAGTTTACACTATTTTTTAAAAGAGTATAAAATATATAGGTATTTTAGAAAGCTAGTTATATTTGCCCTTTTGGTGCTGCCAGCTTTGCTCAAAGTGCAGTGGGTCCAGAACTATGGGAATCTCAGTTTTGATTTCTTTGTGCCATATGGAAACTTCCACCCTCACATTTGATGCCCCGCCCAACAACTAACTGGCTTCCTCCTTTGGAGTGGGTTGGGGGAGCGGGGAGATGGAGGAAAAGGGGGCTCTTCCTGCTTCTTTCACTTTTTTTCTTGGCCTCTGAAATTTCAAGCTAATCTGCAAAATCAATCTGCTTCCCATAATGCTTTTTTGGTGAGAGGGGGTAAGTCCTTTTTTTTCACACCAGGGAAACAAGTATGGGGCGATCAAAAGAGGCGAAGAAGCAGGTTGGAAGGAGCTGATGTTCAAAAAAATTGAAAAGGGGGAAGACGGGTGGGAGGAGAAGAAAAGATAAAATAAGAGTAAAAACAGAGGCATGGAAAAAAGGACAAGAAAAAGTGGAAGAGGAAGCAAGAGAAAGACGAACAGAGCAGGAGAGCGAGGATTTAGGGGAGTAAGGAAGAGAAACAGGATTCAGAAAATGTGCCTTTATATCCTTATAAGTCTAACAAATAAATAAAGAGCCTAAGTACTAGATAATTCTTAATTACTCCCTTCTTTTTAATAAGCCAGTGGTGATATAACAAGAAAATATAAAGAAGAAGAAAAACTTACTCTCACAAAACTCTTCCATCGGGTTCCATCCTGCTTCTGGAAAACAAGTTGCAATGTGGTTTTTGTCATGGTTTTCTGTATAGCCAGGAAGACATTTGTAGGTTACTGATTCATAAGGTTTGTAAATAGATTTAACAGGATCATATGGCATAGCATGTTTCAATACTGGTGGAGGTCCACAGTCACCTAAATTAAAGAAAAAACATTATTTTTAGTCAATGTGCAGCTAGTTTGCTGTGCAATATTTTTGATTTTTAATAGAACAGTGGTTCTCAACCTTTTCTTCACCGCGGACTTTCTTTAAATACTTTTTGTGGCCACGGATCATAGCCATGGACCCTGAAGACTTAATATTTAAATCAAGCTTTCCTGGACCCCCTATGAGGACATGGTGACCCCCCCAGGGGTCTGCGGACCACAGGTTGAGAACCACTGTAATAGAATACAGTATATGTTTATACTAACTATGCAATGAAAAAGGATTTTATTTAGTGGGATTTATTTATTACTATACTACCAGCTTCAATCTACAGTATGTTTTCAGCCATGAAATCAGTAATTTTTGTTGTTGTTGTTGTTGTTGTTGTTCAGTCACTTAGTTGTGTCCAACTCTTCATGACCCCATGGACCATAGCACATTAGGTCCACCTGTTCTCACTGTCTATCAGAATTTGCCCAAATTCAAGTCCATTGCATCAATGACACTATCTAACGATTTCATCCTCTGCCGTCCCCTTCTCCTTTTGTGTTCAATCTTTCCCAACATCAGGGTCTTTTCCAATGAGTCCTCTCTACTTCTTAGGTGGCCAAAGTTTCAGCTTCAGTATCTGTCCTTCCAAAGAACAATCAGGGTTGGTTTCCCTGAGAATTGACTGATTTGATCTTCTTGCAGTCCAAGGGACTCTCAGGAATCTTCTCCAATACCACAATTCAAAAGCAATTCTTTAGGGCTCAGCCTTCCTTATGGTCTAACTCGCAAAGCCATACATTACTACTGGGAACACCATATTATAAACTATACTAATACATAAGATAATAAAGAACATACAATATCAATGGTGCGGGATTGTAAAACTGCAATACACCAAATTCCTTGCAAAGAAAGCTTTGTTTGCAGATTATTTCTAAATGATGACTACATGGGCCCAAACTGAACTTTGATGGGAAACTGTTCTCTAATGTGGGATCATTACAGAAACACATTGACTTTGGGTCTTCTCACATCTGGCACTGAACATTCAACATTGAAGTACTCCAAGGTTCTCCACCTGGGTTAAATATTTAGGGCAGGTGGTTTCACCTACAAAAGATGGTCGTGAAGGTTTCTTAGCTCAAGCCATGTAAAGTCTTAAAACCAGTATTTTAAATTCCACTCAAAAATTTGTTGGCAGCCAACATTGTAACTGCAACACACATATGATGTGGCTGTAGTGGTTTTTAGCTGGGAAAAGGGGGAAGGCTCCCAGTTGAGCAAATGAATTGAACTCAGCAGCATTTAAAATAAAATGAAAATTAGTGAAGATTCAGATTAATAAAAAAGAACCTTAACAAGCAAGAGAAGAGACAATTTGGGCTCTAGGTGATAGCCAATATATTATCCCAGGGCCTCACCTACTTAGAAGACTAGAAAGGAAAAAGAAAAAAGTAAGTGCTTTGTTGGGGCAGAGAAAAGATTAAAGGAGAAAAGAGACCCTGGGGTGTGGCGGAACCTGATAAAGGTATACATTCTGAAATCTGAGCTGACCATTTGAAAGCCATGATGAGACAACAAGGCCATATCAAAGTCCTGTACAGTAATGAAAAGGAAGGAAGAGGATAAGGAGAAACGTGGAGAGAAAATGAAAGCTGTGAATATCTAAAGACGGTAAAGTCAGAGTGAGATGTGTGGCGAGAAGCATTCAAAGACCTGGAGGTGGGGGTCGGGGTATTGCTAAAGGGAGCTTAGACCTCTAGAGAAGTCACTGAGTCATCCCTTGAGTTGGAGATATTGGCAGATTTAGCCATACCAAACTCCCCAAGTTAACTGAAAAAAGGACAGTGAGGCATTTTTTACAATATTCAAAAGTACAGGTGGATATCATTTAGCAACCATAATTGGGACTGGCAACTAGGTCACTAAACAAAGCAGTCACTAACTGAAATCATGATTGTACTTACAATCTTACTTCAGCTTTCCTTTGCTTTATAAACCTATAATGATCATAAATGCAAGGATTGGTTGCAAAGTTATTTTTTTACCATTGTCAGTTCTCTAACCTCCAGCCATAGATTCCACCTGGCCAACCATGCCCCACAACTGGACACTGGGTTGTCAAATCATACCCCTTTTAAGTTTTTTAGTCAAAAAACATTACAAAGGCAGCCTCCAAACATTCCAAGATTGTGGCTTTTCAGACTTCTCCGCATCTTTCCTTTCTCATTCGGATAAGATGACAGTCCAGTAAAGTTGGCTGTCAAGCCCATTGAGGCAGTCAAACTCAGGAAACAAGAACCACTTGGATTTCTTTCAGAGCTAAATAATCTCAATGTTTATTTTGAATATCCTCTTCTGTAGCTTTTCAGCTGTATTATATTTTTCCCCCAAACTTAGCAACGAGAACTATACACAGTATTCCAAAGATGGAAATACATTATGATTACATGAAGGTATTAAAGCATTCCTAATATAGTAAGCCTAACCATAAACAGTTTGAAATTTTAATGACTCTTTTGTGCCTCTGTAGAATCCAGAACTGCAGCAGATGCAATTAACTTTAACTGAATTATGTTCAGAGTATTTAAACCAAAATAACTCAAAGTTATACATCATTTTGTCATTTTTTTCCTTGGAAATAGTTGCTTTCCAGGCTGAAGCATTTTACACGTAGAAGCAAATGTAAAAAGGGTGGAGTGAGATCGAAACTAAAGTTTGACAGCAGCATGGTTGGTAAATTTATATTTGGTGTCCTGATAGTTCCCACGATTGCCTGGTCAGAACCAATATTAATAAGTGGCTTCACAAAACATAAAATGCATTTTCTTTTCTTTTTTTTCTTCTTGTCTTTTCCATTCTTATCGATGTTTATATGAAGTAGTAATCGCGATCACGGACTTCCTCCTATTAATATACTTTGAATATTAATTTGGAACGGAAGAGAAACACGGATATCCTTTTTCGGAACAACCATTATTTGGAGGATGGGAAGGCAAGAAGGCAACAGGGACCGGCTGGCTCCTTGTCGAGTAAAGTGGCCCTGCAAACGAAGCGACGTACTTCGATCCTCCCCTCCAATCCTTCCAGTTACTTACCCAGCATTCCGGAAAACAGTGAGAAGAGCACCAAGATTCTCGGAGCCAGGTGGGAAAAGAAGTCTCCGAACATCACAGTGCAACTTCCATTCATTTTATTCTTTCTTTCAAAGAATGAATCTCTAACGCGCCAGGAATGAGGGCGGAACTGCATAGGGTGCGGGCGATAAAGACTAATTTGGGGAATCCCTCCGAGGACAGTAGGCTTAAGTAAGGGCTTCCCCGCGACCAGTTGCTGGGGAAACAGGGCGGTGGATAAAGCAAACAGTTGCGAAAGTTCGAATTACGTTGCCCTGCATTTTTTATAATTCACTCCAATTCTTGCTCTCGTCCCCTTCAAAAGTCCGACAGGACTGTCTTTGTGGTTCATTGCTAGGCATATGTTGTGTCAAACACACATTCTGTTTTCCCCGTTTTCAGAAATCCGGAAATGACTGTTTTACCACACCTAACGGGCAGAGCCAGCCTCCAAATATGTCCATCTATGATACGCACCCTTGCGGACTTCATTTTCTGTTCTTTTAAAAGACTCAAATCTGTATGTTCTGCCACAAAATTGTGCCTTTTCCAAAATATATGACTGCTTTACTTCCCTTCCACAAGAACACTAATTCCAGGTTATATCATTACATATGTCTCAATGCTATAATACGGATTTTTAAAATACTATTATCAATTTTATATGAAGTAATAATAGTGGTTATTGATTTTACAGTTGTCTGGTTGCCTCACATCTCGATTCCATTGTGTTGTAAAAACGTTTGTGGTAAGGAAGTAAGAAACATGAAATATACTCCTGAATGTGAAGTATGTTTACAAATGTTATGATTTAAAAATAAAATTATTTCATCAGAAAATATTACTTTACATTTATTGGATACCCCCACCCAATACTAAGGGGAAGGACGTTAGATTTTGTTGTTGTAAGAAATTTGAATATTCTTCCACTATGATCTGGTCTAATCCAGCTAGTGCCTTGTTTTGGTTTCATATTACTACCTTTGTTAATAGACATTTGGGAAGAAATATTATAGTTAGGGAACATAATGTGATATTGAACTATATTCCTAAGGTACGGAATTTGTCATCTCATAAAGAACTTTGATATACAGCATAGAGGATATTTTTTGTATAAGTGTAAAAAATGTATCTTCTTGATTTTAAGGAGTGAGTCCAGGGCATGAGTTTATTTTTTCTTAATAGTCTTTTTTTTAATGAAATGAGTATTTTATGATAGGGTTTATATCTTTAGAATATAACTTTCAGGATTGAATTTATTGTTATCTGTAGTTATTATAATAATAATAAAGTTGGAAGGGACCTTGGAGGTCATCTAGTCCAACCCCCTGCTCAGGCAGGAAACCCTATACCATTTCGGACAAATGGCTGTCCAGTCTCTTCTTAAAAACTTCCAGTGCTGGAGCATTCACCGCTTCTGGAGGCAGGTTATTCCACTGGTTAATTGTTCTAACTGTCAGGAAGTTTCTCCTTAGTTCTAGGTTGCTTCTCTCCTTGATTAGTTTCCATCCGTTGCTTCTTGTCCTGCCTTCAGGTGCTTTGGAAAATAGCTTGACTCCCTCTTCTTTGTGGCAGCCTCTGAGATATTGGAACACTGCTATCATGTCCCCACTCATCCTTCTCTTCATTAAACTAGACATACCCAATTCCAGCAGCCGTTCCTTATATGCTTTAGCTTCCAGTCCCCTAATCATCTTTGTTGCTCTTCTCTGTACTCTTTCTAGAGTCTCAACATCTTTTTTACATCACGGTGACCAAAACTGGATGCAGTATTCCAAGTGTGGCCTTACCAAGGCATGGTAAAGTGGTATTAACACTTCATGTAATCTTGATTCTATCCCTCTGTTAATGCAGCCTAGCACTGTGTTGGCCTTTTTGGCAGCTGCAGCACACTGCTGGCTCATAAGTGATTGTCCACTAGGACTCCGAGGTCCCTCTCACAGTTACTATTATTGAGCAAGGTACCCCCTATACTATACCTGTACATTTGGTTTTTCTTGCCTAAATGTAGAACCTTCCTTTTTTCACCATTGAATTTCATTTTGTTAGATAGTGCCCAGTGTTCAAGTCTGTCCAGATCTTTCTGTATCTTAAGCCTGTCTTCTGGCATGTTGGCTATTCCTGCCAGTTTGGTGTCATCCGCAAATTTGATGAGTTCCCCATCTATCCCCTCGTCCAAATCATTGATAAAGATGTTGAAGAGCACTGGGCCCAGAACAGAGCCCTGGGGCACCCCACTACACACTTTCCTCCACGTAGATGCGGTTCCATTGAGGACCACATGCTGAGTATGGCCGGTCAGCCAGCTATGAATCCATCTGGTGGTGATGCTGTCTACCCCACATTTTTCTATCTTGTCATGTAGTAGGTTGTGATCTACTTTATCAAATGCCCTACTGAAGTCCAAGTAAATTATATCCACAGCATTCCTCTGATCCACTAATTTTGTCACTTAGCCAAAGAATGCAATAAGATTTGTCTGGCATGATCTATTTTTGACAAACCCATATTGGCTTTTAGTAATGACTTTGTTTGCCTCTAGGTGTTCGCTGATTCGTTGTTTGATTATCTTTTCCAGAATCTTCCCAGGTATTGAGGTCAGGCTGATAGGTCTGTAATTTCCTGGGTCCATTTTTTCCCCTTTTTTGAAGATGGGAACTACATCAGCTCTTTTCCAGTCCTCCGGTAGTTCCCCAGTGCTCCAGGATCTTTGAAAAATATAGTTCAGTGGTTCTGAGATCACATCTGCCAGTTCCTTGAGAACCTTGGGATGTAATCTATCTGGTCCTGTCAATTTGAACTCGTCTAGGCTGGACAGGTGCTCACTTACCATTTTCTTGCCTATCTTAACTTGTGTTTCTATTCTGTTTTTTATGGCACTATTTTTGATAGGTTGGTCTGTTTTTTCCCTTTGTGTAAAGACAGATGCAAAAAGCGAGTTAAATAGTCCTGCTTTCTCCCTGTTGCTTGTCACCTTCTTGCCACTTTCCCCCACTAATGGACCAATCATTTCCTTCACTTCCCCTCCCCCCCGCTAATTAGGATTTTCTAGGCGGAGGAAAACATCTCAGTTCATTTTAATCACTATTATGTACATAGTTTTTCTTTTTTACTGTTTAGTCCAGTGGTGGCGAACCTATGGCACGGATGCCAGAGGCGGCACTCAGAGCCCTCTCTGTGGGCACGCGTGCCGTCGCCCCAGTCCTAGGCCTTCAGCTGGGTTTTATAAAACCTTTATGCTTTAGGCCTCTGCCGCCATGTGCAAAAAAAAAAAAAGGTTCAATCAGTCAATTTCAACTTCTCGCGGGGAAAAAAAATCTTGCAATGTTGGAATTGATTGATTGAACTTTTTAGTCCCACCCAGTCTGCCGTTACCACTGCAGCCACGCCCACCCTATGGGCCACACCCACCCAATGGGGCCACACCCACCCAGCACCCGACGATGCATAAGTGGGTTTTGGGTTACAGTTTGGGCACTCGGTCTCTAAAAGATTCGCCATCACTGGTTTAGTCAATATATTATTGGTGGTGCTTTTTATTTCACTACTTTTAAAAATGAAAATGCCATGTTAGTTTGAATGGTCTGAAAGCTATTTACTGTATATTTAAGTAGAGCCATAGCTGATAAAGTACTGTAGTTCATGCCACAGAGAGCATCTAGCATCTAACATAGTAGACTGATCCAGAAGCAGTGAAAGCTATAAATGTGATCCTTTTAGGGATCTGCAACTTTTAGAACAAATTGAACACCACTAATTTAGATCAATAAATCATATACTAATGGCATTTCTCTCTTGACTGGATTGAATTTCAGTTTTTGGTTGTTATCTGGTCTAGTACTGCGGCCAGATACTTGTTTAGTAGTTCCTCTATCTCATTAGATAGGAATAAAAGGAGAAATAGAGCTGGGTTTCACCAATATTCTGAAGACACTGAAGACACTTTTTTTCTAAATCCCTAAATTATTCACTCAAGGGTTTCATATAGGTATTGAACAACGTGGAGGATAAAATGTATTGGTCTCACAATGGCTTCATTTAATAAAAGTGGAACCAATGTATCTACAAGGGAGAAATGTATAGCTTCAGTGACTGAGGTGATCTACTACTAAATGTAATAAATCATGAGGAACAAAGGACAGCACAAAATGCAGTTGATCAAACTTTTCCAAACACTTTATTGACATCAATGGGCCTTAAAAACAAGGTGATCCCAAGAAAAAGAGATGGCCCTGCATTCTTTTACAAATTCAAATATCAGAATTGTAGAGATTAAGTATAATTAATTTGATCAAATACTTCGCTTTCAAAGTATTTACCCAACATGTCTCAGTAAGCTGCTGAAGTTCTGATTTCTCACTGGGCTGGATTCCCCAAGTCCCCAAACCACTCAGAGAATTCCAGTAGTGATACTGAAAGCATGTAGTACTAAGGGAAAATAAGATTTTCACCTTCATCACTACCATAAAGTTGGCTCAATAATGAGTTCTTACTAGTGTTGGATCAGAGCTGAGTTTTCCTTTACCTGCATTCCAGTCACTTCTAGCTTGCTCCTTTGCCCTCAACTGAGATATGTAGCAAGCAACTGAATGGGCTTGACATCGGAGATAACAAACTGAAAAATTACTGTTCAATTGGCCTGTTCTCATCTTTATCTGAATAGACACATTTTAAAACTCAGTTTGCAGCATAAAACCTGCCAGAACCTTCTACAACAGGGGTGTCAAACTGCCGGCCCACGGGCAGGATGCGTCATGACGAAACCGCACCCACCCCATTGCTGGCAATGGAAAAAAAGTCACGATACGTTGCAAGATATCACATGATGTTGTGAGTTTGACACTCCTGTTCTACAACATGCTGGCCTGAACTCCTCCATGCCTGAGGAGTGGTCATTGATCAATCTCAATGGGAAGTTATCTGATCATGGCTGGTGTAAAATTCTCCATTTTCGGACAGTCGTTTTTCCCAATAAAAAATAAAAACAGATCCACAGTGCCATGCATATTGGGCCAATAACAAGTTCAAGAACCACAATTTTCTGAATAAAATATTAGCACCCCCAGAGTAAGCCAGTTCCAGCATGAATATTGACATTTCTCAGAACTTTCTGGAAGCCCTAAATGCCAGGGCCAAGGTCTCCTGTGCCAGCTCAGTTAGGAAAATTCTTGGATAAGGGTGGGTGGTATATCAGCAGAGTCCTCACTTTGTTCTGAATGCTCAGTGCAAGATATACATATTCTCAGATGACCTGTGAATGAATAGGAAGCCCACAGAGAGAAAGGGAGTTCCTGTAGCTTTCAACTTCCTACATCTCTTGACCGCTTCTGCTGTTACACTGAGTACCTAGAGGTCACAGCTGGAAGAAGCTA